GTGGTTGGAAGGAATGGTGGCTCCTGTGTATGGCAGCCTCACTTCTGTCAGTGAGCCCCTGGGCAGCTGAGGCTACCATGTAGGTTGTCGCCATCAATGTGTGCGTGAACGGGTGAATGACTTAGCGTAGTGTAAAGCACTTTGGTCAAGTTATCTGACTTGAAAAAGCACTATATAAGTGCAGGCCATTTACCATTTACAAAACTTCTTCCATAAAAAAGAGCAGACAGCAGAGCTGACTTTGGATTTTAAACATATGTCCACTAGCAGCATACTGCATGTTACACATTCTGTGCATCTTCACTCTTTCTATAGACTTTTGAACTCCTAAGCAGTAGTACAGGTACGACCCTTCTGATATTGTATGTTGGTTCAGATGTAGAGTTGGTGCACTTGTGGAGCCCAAAACATGACTCTGCTTACAGTTCACACAATGATTTTGTCAATCATCAAAATGATTTGCATTTGTTTGTTTTTTTTCCTTCCACATAATTTATCATGAAAATACATAAAGGAAAGAGACTTCTGGCAAACAGCTCACAGATTTTACCCATCCTATTGGTATGCCATTGACTCTTTTCTTATCCACTTTTAAGGTACCATTGTTTTTGTTTTTTTTTACATATTTATAAGGTTTGTGGGTAGATCGCTCAATAAACTTTAAGGGTTTTTAGCTTGCAATATATTCAAGCATTTATTTTGTATTTGCAACCATAGCTCTCCAACATGCATACTAAATGTCTCTATCAAGTAATACTTTGGATGACTACACTCTCAATCTGAAGAAAAAATATATAGGTCAGTCAGTTACTGAGGGGGAGCATGGATTGTGCATTTTTAAGGTTTGGGAGGATTTAAACAGATGAAAGCATCATGAAACCATAAAGTGCGTGAGCGTCCTCTAGTGGCAGATATGAGCAGAAGAGATGAATTGTCCAGCATTTGTAGGTTGGAACAAGTTAATAAAATGTATTTAAACAAAGTAGTTTATTTCATAAAAATATTCTTCAGCTTAAACAAAAAAGATGTACACTGAAATTTACATCTGTGTGTGCAGCAAAAATATAAATACAGTAAAAACTGTACAAAGGTTGACAAAAATTTGACGTCAACTCAAAAATAAATGACCACTAAAAAATAAACTGCTGAACAAAATGTTCACATGTATAAATAAAGGAATTACAGTTTGTTTTAAACAACAGTTTCTGTAACAGTTTGAAATGTAATTAATTCAACAACAACTCCTAAATCTTCAGTCATTCAGAGCTCATCGTGGATGGAGGTGAATTCCCTGACAGATATAAAACCGTCTTTGTCCTCATCCTCGTTTTTGAAGATGTCATCAACCATCACTTCATGATGCGTGTCATTAGGTGAGTAGCCGTGTTTCTCAAACTCCGCCTTCAAGTACTGTTTAACCTGGAAATGCAGACAGAATTTAGAAAATATTCTCCAAATAAAGAAGTAGTCTCTTGACATAGAGAGAGCAGCAGTAAACAGTCAGACCTCCTGTCTGGAGAGTTTCCAGTCATCGTTGAGGTCCATGTCCCGGAATGATTCGTGGGACCTGGGACCATTTCGGATCTCCATGAGCTCAATGTCAAAAATCAGGGTGCTGCTTGGAGGAATCTTACCTGTAAACATAGCAGGATTTTAGAGTAGATCCAGGCTCTGGTAGACTTATTTCACTATTGTAATATTATAGTGAAAAAACCTCAATGCCTTGTAAATTACAGTGCAACTCTCATAAATCTCTTTCAGTTTATGTTACAAATATTTATATATATATATATATATATATATATATATATACATATATACATACATACATACATACATACATACATATATACATACATACATATATACCGTAAATTCTCTAATATTGGCCTGTATTCCAATAGCGGCCGGGACTCTAACATTGGCCGGTCTCGCTGTCAGAGGAGGTAAATAATGGCCGGTCTCTAATACAGGCCGGGGCTATAAACGTTTTTTCTGGGCATACCTCAACATTATAGTTGTGGTAGTAAGTAACATACAAGTACCACAGCCCTGCGCAGCTGGACGGCAGGCCCTGACTGCTGCCCGTCTGCGCGAGGAAGAGAACAGACACGCAGCAGAACAGGAGGAGCGCGAGTGATGAGGAGATTAAAGGGAGAGATGAAGAGGAGGAGAAAAACTGAGGAGGAGAATTAAACAGAATTGGAGGATTTTTTTTTTTTTTTTTTTACTTCAAACCAAGCGAGACATGGTAACTGTCCTTTTTCAATAAATGAACCTAGTGTTTTATAGGTTCAAATAGACACAAAATCAAATTTTTATTCATTCCACTGGTAGTCTGTTTTGCTCAAATAGCAATAGAGGCCTGTCTCTAATTCTGGCCTCTATCCAATAAAGGCCTGGACCGCGATGCACTTGAGTGAAATAAAGGCCCGGGCCTATATTAGAGAATTTACGGTACATACATACATAGAAAAAGTCCCCTTTTGGTTTCTTTATTTACGAGATGTGCAAATCTGCTGACATTTTCAGCGCTTCTCACATATTTTCTATAGGATTAATGTCTGGACTTTAAATAGACCATTCTAACACATCAATATGCTTTGATCCAAAATAGGCTTTAAAGGTCAAATTTATCCCAAAAGTTCACCTTCGGTGTGTCACCTGATCGTAGCAAGTCCTTCCACATGTTTGAGATGCTTTAAAAAAAAAAACTGAATATGAGGCCAGATATAAGGCGTAGCTAATGCTTCTCCTGTCTATAGAATCGTCCACATTCGCTGTGGATTTCTGCCAGTCAAAATATTTTCACAGGGTTGGCCAGACAGGAACCAATGTTCACTGAGGGGTGGCTGATTCAAATAGGAGCAAAAACCAGTTCATGGCCAATCTATACTAAACAAAATGTACCAACAGTAGAATATGCATGCAAAACATCCATATTTTTCAAATAACTTACAAACAATAGAATAGATTTCAAATGAAGTCCTTGCTAATAAACAGAAACACTTATCTATAGATCTATGCAATCTAATCATTTATAATTCTGCATAATATACACATTGAATGGGTTGAGCATTTTATAGAAGACTACTTAATGACTGCAGAGACATAACTTTCCCTTCTTCTCCCTAAAGCACAGACTTAGTTCTAAAAAGAGCAAGACTTCTGTTTTGTTCTACTAATTATAACAATTTAGTTGTCAGTTTATGGCTACTATTAAAAACTGAAAAATCAAATGAGTTTGGAAATTTCACCAGAGTGTGTCACTGCTGCCACCCTCTATTATTTAAAGGGGGAACTGTTTCATATGGGGGTTATGAAATATGCTACTTCAGGAACAGCAAATCACCCAGTAGCCCCCTTCTAGCTCCGCCCTTGATCTCTGCAGCTCCTCCAGAGTTACCATAGACTACTTGCAAGCTTCTCTCAGTAAGGCTCCCCTTAGCCAACCTGTACGTTTAGGTGGGCCGCCATGAACCTATAAGTTTGCAGCTGTACTATACTCAGTTTGCAGATAATAAAAAAGAGACAATGCTGGATGAGATGCAAATAAAATTGCATTTCATTTGCAAACCTTAATGAGGATGTTTATTTACCAATGTTTTCAAATTAAACTCATGCTACTTCCAAATTCTTTGTTGCTTTGTGTATTTAAAATTTAAGTTCAGATTTTGATGAGATATTGAAGAGGGTGTATACCCATTCAGACAAATGTAACAATGAAAGGACAGATTTGTTTTTTGTTTACACAGAATCTGAGCTACCTTGACCTTCTTTGCCATATGCCAGTGATGGAGGGACAGTCAGCTTCCTGCGCTCCCCAGCACACATGTCCTGCAGACCTTTGTCCCAACCTTTAAGCACCTCTCGGATCCCAAGCGTGAACCACACTGGATTTTTATCTCCAAATTGGCGGCTGTTGAAAAAAAATAAATCTAAAAGAGCTGAGCACAAGACATTTGATATTAAATAATAACTGGATAAATCCGTTATATATAAAAAACAAAAACGATTTCCATTTAAATGGCCTGGGACATGTTACATGCATACCCTTGTACATTTTAATAGAAGGCTGTTTCAGATTTTAAAACACAAGTTTTATCTAATCTGGCTGCATAACCTGTAGCAGATTATGCATAATCTGTAGCAGATTGTGCAGCCAGACATGCAATTTTATTTCCATATTTTACCTGGAATGGAACATGGTGCCATTGCTCTCCAAGAATCCCTCATAATGAACAAGAAGCATGTCTCCATACTTTGATTTTCGTTGACACATGAAAGGTTTGTACATCACTTCAATTTTCACGTCGGGTTCGGGGAGTTTCCCTCCAGTGACAAAAAGAAACAGTGATGACAGTAAAGAGAAAAGAAAAAACAGCATCATATTTAGATACTTTCCCTTAGGCTTTCGAAACTAGTATCTTGGCACCGTGTACAAATTAAAAAGTTTAAACTGTTACTTGATGAAGTACCTTACGTGGCAGGCAAACTTCTGCTTAAGGGTGCGCACCATTTTTCAGCCGGTAAGGCAATCGGTGCGCTGGGTTGACAACCAATGACCCGCGCACAAGGCGGGGTGAGATCTGTACAAATTTGGGCCTAGATAAAGACTAGTTCTAAACTTAGATCACCCTGGATAAAACTCTGCTATTTTTTGCTCATAGATTATTGATTTAATTAAGAATCTTTCTGGCTTCCATACGCAGTAGCATTTGCTTTTGACTTGTTCATCTTAACTCCTCCTTTGCCACCTTGCCACCAGTTTATTCGTCGGCAGACGTTTAAGGACTCAAGCCAGGGTTTTGACGTCAGCCCTCCTCCCATTATTATTGGTGAAATCTTTACAGTACCGCCTATAGGTAGTTTTCTTTATTTCCATTGGCTTTATTAAACGCCAATCATTCCACTCTACGCCCAAATTATTCCAACATCGTCTTCAATGATTGGTAGACCTGTATTCACCAAGAACTTTACGCTTTCTTTGTGACGTACTCCAACTGGAAAACCGAGGACGTAGCGTCGCAATTCACATTCTGGGCCCAATGGAGTCGCTGCAATCAGCTGTGCCACACATCTTGTGATAAACAAGTAATGAACTGGAAAAATACCAAATTAAACAATGGAGGGTATGCTGCATAAGTGGACCAATTATATCAGCGGTGAGTTCATAATTTAATAAAAACATGGTTTTGGTTTTAGAGCTTTTTAAAAAGCAGCTAGCGATATAGCAGTAGCCTGTTTGAATTGAGTTTAGGATGTGCAAGCTAACGTTAGCTACAGTACCTATCAACTTTCGGACTTTGTAGACAATTTTAAAACATTTACTGTGGCTCCCTTGTTATGTGAGCTGTTTAACGAGTTGATCTTGTTCTATAAAATCTCTAAGCTTAGCCAGCAAGTTGTGCTAGTTTCCACCCCATCTGTCATTCTAATCTAATCTGATTTACCAACTGATTAGTTGCTGCTAATTTAACGTTAATTACTTTACTAACAAGCGGATCAAACTTATTTTTTGTCATCGTTGCAATCCATCCTAGTTAACAAGACTCTGTGTTTAGGTTGGCAGCCTCGCTGGTTTGTTCTTGACGAAGGAACTTTATCATATTATGACTCCCAAGAAGATGCTTGGAAAGGTTGCAAGGGCAGCATTAAGATTTCAGTTTGTGAAATCCAAGGTCAGTGAAACTCTTATTTTTTTCCCTGTGTCAATGTTTTGTTTTTGTTTAGCTGACAGCTAAACAATATTTGAGTAAATATATATTTATTTAATGTATGCCTCAGTCCATTCCTCTGACTCCACACGGGTTGACCTGATCATACCAGGAGAGCAGTACTTTTACCTCAGAGCCATTAATGCAGCGGAGAGGCAGAAATGGCTGGTTGCACTGGGCACAGCCAAGGCCTGTTTGACCGACAACAGAACCAAGAGAGAAAAAGGTAGGCAAGCATATTATAGCCATAACATATTACAAATATGGGTTACCATTTAGGTTCACTACATATAAACAGAGGTGTAGCCAGAAAATGTTTATAAGGGTGGCCAGGCAATAACTAATGTACACTGAGGGGGGCGAAAGTAGATAGGCACCAAAACCTCACAGTCAATCTACACTGTTCCAACAGGAACATTAATGAGCAAAACATCCATATTTTCTAAATAAAGACAAACTATACTTTCCAACAGCCTTTGCTAACAAATAGACAAATATATTCAAACATCCATGCTTTCTAGATAATAGGTATGGTGAATAAAATTCTTTTGGGCAAACATCTTTTCCATTGTCATTACTTACCTACTTCATCAGTTATCATTCTGCATAAAATTGATATTAACTAGTGCTAATATCTACATAAATTGATGATTTAATATGTTTTATTAAAATAGTTGTTTATCTATGATTTCACTGAAGACTCCTAGATGACTTACAGAGACGCATAATTTTCTCTTTACCTCATAAAACACAAAATCTATTTCTGAAAAGAGCATGAATTCTGTACTTATCATCTTTAATGTTAGTATATTGATGTGCATAGTTAACCACAGTTTTTTGTTGTCAAGTAATTTTTAATATATGAAAAATGTAAATATTTTGAATATTCCACTTGAGAGTATTGGCCACCCCTGGCCCCCCATCTAGCTCCGCCCCTGCACATAAATACAGTTATAAATGGGCCCTCTGACTGCCTACAGCAGGTAAATTGCCTTTAGACACAAACACTGAGACAGATGAAGCATAAATGTAATTGGACTCTGCAGAAATCTTATTGCCCTCATTTCTGTTTGCTTTATTTCCTTATGTTCTGCTTTTTCGGAATAGTTGATTTTCATTCTTTGGCATGGTATATATTATTATTATTTGGTGAACCAAAGTAAAAGTGCAACAGTTGCTAAAGTAAATGCTACTGCTACAAAAGTAATCTAAATATTGGATTCATATTTAATTATCAACGCTATCTGTTGTGGTTTAATCTATGATCTTGATCAATGAAATATAGAGGGAACATTTATTGGTCGTTTTTAAGTAAACATGCTTTAATAGAGAAACAAAACTCAATATGATATCTATTATACGTCCTTAGCTGTCTCAAAGTACTAACAATCTCAACGGTTGATGGCTGATTTTTTTGTATTTTTCTTCTTTTTGTTTTTCTTCTTGCTCTAAAACAGAGCTCCAGGAGAACACAGAGGCGTTAAAAACAAAGATGTCGGAGCTCAGATTGTACTGTGACCTTCTTCTCCAGCAAGTAAACAAAATCAAGGAAAATGATGAGTTGGGAGAAACAGCGGAGGTACAGGTAACGTTTGGTTGAGCCAATGAAATTGGAGAAGCCTCTGTTTGTGTGAAATGGCTGTATAGCGTACATCAGGGCTGCACCCTCAATCACTTGTCCAGGATGCAAGAAGCACAATTTATTAAAAGTACTTGTTTGTCTAGATTTTCTTAGCAGACTATCGACAAACTACATCTATAATCAACGCTGTGATAGACATAAGTGCGAGGTTTTAGCTAATGTGTTAACTTGTCTTGTTTTAGTCTGGTATAGACACTGGAAATATGGTGAAGTCAACATGCACCACATTCCTTAAAACTCTGGAGGAGTGCATGCAGATAGCAAACCGCACCTTTAACACCGATTTGGGGACGCACAGCCCGCCAGGGACGCCTCCTGTAGCAGCGATCAAACCCCTGAAGGTATGCTCCCTTTTTTAGTCTTTCCAGCTGATCCGTTCAGTCTGATACTGGTGCAAATATTTTTGTCCTGCTTCCAATCCCTGAAATTATTCTAAAGCCAATGCTCTGTTTCCCCGACAGCTTAAACATGCCAATCATTCAAATCGAAACCTTGGAGAAAAGTAGGTTTTGTTTTATTTTGTTGTTTTCTTTAATGCAGTGTTGATAGTGCCTTGTCTAATTCTGATGCTATCATTTAGGTTTGCTATTTAAGAGCAAATGTCTAGTTTCTGCAACTGGGACTAGAATCCCTCTGGAAAAGTTTCCCTTGTGTTTTCAAGATACGTATTCTGAAAAATGTGCCTATATCTAAGGCTGCAACTAAAAATGATTTTGCTAAGTGGTTAATCTGTCGATTAATTATTTGATTAATTGATCAATAATTGGATAGCAAAATATCCTTAAAGAAGACTTTTTTTTTTTTTTTACAGAATTTAAACATGGGGAAACAAAAACTTTTGGAGGAGATCTGGGTGGAGCATATTGGCAGACAAAGAGAATTTCTTTATCTTTAAAGCAAAATGTTTAAACATCCTTTTTTTTCTTTACAATTTTGGTGTAATTACTTCTCTAAGTGGGTTGCTCCGTTCGCTTATGTAAATGTTTTTGAGCCTCTATACTCGAGATAGCAAATAATCTATTACTAAGTTAGTTTAGGATTATTTGAGTAATCAATTAATCCGATGAATTGTTTCTGCCCTACTAACATCTTGGTGTGTCTGTCTGCTACTAAAGCCTTTCTAGGAGGAAAGACTTGACTGAAACCTCAGCACATGACACCCTGAGCCTGGATTCTGGAGCAGAAGGACCAGATGATCCAGACGGTACAGGACACCATCCTCCCCCATCAGGTCAGCCTGCTTTCCGATCCATTTTCCACCCAGCAGCCTTACCTGATACAAACATCTTCTGTGCATTCCACAGATGTTTCCTTTTAACGCACGTTCTTTGTGTGTTAACCAGTAAAAGTAGAATGCAAAAAATATTTTATGTTTCTACTCTTTTTAAGAATTTACTTCTTCTAAAAAGTGTCATGATTAGTTTAATAGGTGTTTTAAAATGGGATGTCTTATCTTAGCTTGTATACACTTATTGCATTAGAAAATAATTTATTCCAATGATATTTTAGACATCATTATGTCAGTCCAAAGCTGTTTTTTTTCTTTAATTTTCCTCAAAAATGTATTTTAGATAACATTTTTATGATGGTTAAAACCCACAATGTGTCATCTAATGCGAGCCATTCATGCAGCAGAGGCAGAAATAGCTGCTGATACTGAGCACCAGCCATTCCTGTTTTTCAGGACACTTAACATTTAACATAACACTTAAGAAGAACAGGTCTGACAAACTTACATCCCTATCAAAATATCATTTAGAAAATATTTAATTACACAAATTGTAATTGGATCCTTTATTTTTTTTTAACACAGTGCAGACAAGTTAAAGGAATAGTACACCCAAAACATGATTAGCCTTCATTTTCTACTCACCCCCATGCTGAACAACACCCTGGAGTACTTTTTTGATATCTCAAATGCATCTGGAGATCTGGGAGGCTTCTTGCTGTCTGCTGACATTCAAATAATGGAGGTCCATGGCGCCCGAGACAGAAAGGTCCATAAAAGTCCACAAAAACGTGTCAATATTCCTCCATACTGCTCGTCCAATGTAATCCAAGTGTCCTGAGTGGGTAGCATCCAGAATTTACTCGAAACGAAGTCATTTAGAATGTTTTTAGAGCATAAACAGTAGTGTATAGGATTTCCTAATAGCGCCCCCATGCGCGCTCACGACGCTACGGAAGCCGGCAGACCAAACCGGAAGAAAGTGCGCATTCAGCGTCTGGTCTGCCGATAATGCAAGCGTAGAAGAAGAAATGTGCTGTTTACCTGTGCAAAGAAAGAAACAACGAAAGAAAAATGTCTGAGGACTTCAGTGTTGAGGAAGAGCATGAGTTCTTTGCCGAGCTGAATGCGCTGGTTTGGTCTGCCGGCTTCCGTAGAATCGCGAGCGCGCATGGGGGCGCTATTAGGAAATCCTATACACTACTGTTTATGCTCTAAAAACATTCTAAATGACTTCGTTTCGAGTAAATTCTGGATGCTACCCACTCAGGACACTTGGATTACATTGGACGAGCAGTATGGAGGAATATTGACATGTTTTTGTGGACTTTTATGGACCTTTCTGTCTCGGGCGCCATGGACCTCCATTATTTGAATGTCAGCAGACAGCAAGAAGCCTCCCAGATCTCCAGATGCATTTGAGATATCAAAAAAGTACTCCAGAGTGTTGTTCAGCATGGAGGTGAGTAGAAAATGAAGGCTAATCATGTTTTGGGTGTACTATTCCTTTAAGTTTATTATGCATTTAGATGGTCAATTGTTTTTCTTTCTAGTTCAGCTGACTTCAACAGTCCCTCATACAGAGCAAGCATTCTGTAGTTCTTGGAAAAGCATTCTCACCTTTTGAACTTTTTGACATTTTATCATGCTACAAACCCAAGCTTCAGTGTAATCTGTTGGGATCTAATATGAAAAAAAGACATACTGATGCATAAGGGTGAAGTGAAAGTAAAACAATCTGTGGTTTTCAGCAGTATAAAAAGACATGTATATTTACTTGGCAATGATTATGTTTTTATTTGCATTACAGCTGCAAGTCATTAAGTTTATGGCTTTGCTCAGTCAGAGACTGAAACCAGAGACAGAAATTTTACACTGTTTCTACGTTGCAATATCAAATTAGTTTATTCCCCATTTTAAGACATATGCACTAAATTATACATATAATTTGATTAAATATATATCTGATTATAAATGGCTTTCTTTGTTAAATTTTCATTTGACTAGATTGTCTTAAATACAATAATACATTCATTCATTCATTCATTAAACTCAGTCAGACTGGATGAAGAGCGTCTTTCAACACCAGTTGGATATTTAATATTTAATCCAATTTTAACAGGATGACTCTAAAACCTAACTAGGCTTTGGTCGATACTCTTCCATCGGGCTTCTGGCTGTATGTTCGTGTTTGATGTTGAGTCTCACCATATTCAACCAGTGTCAAATCACTGCTAGCATCTGACACGTTTTCTTTCAGAATGATTCTGTATTTAGCTCCATGCTCTTACCAATCAACTGTGACGAGATATCTGAAGAAAATCCCCAAAGCATAATGCTGCAAGCACCACATGGGGCAACGTGGAGTTTACGCTTCAAAGCCGATGCGTAGCATTGTTGACATTTTCCATTTAGACCAGGGTGCCTTCTTCTGCATGTTTATAGAACTTTCTATGGGTTTCTTAGATCGTTTTATTGACAATAGCTTCATGATGCTTTTGGTTTCCTAATGTACTCTAAGAAACAACCAAAGCTTTCACAGAACTGTGGTAACTACAGAGATTACATTACTGACCGGGTGACATCACAGAGGTGCTCTGCACTTTATTTAGGGGTGTCACAGTAAAAAAAGGAGGATCAGAAACGCTCATCATACTGGATCTATTTTTGTAGATGAAATAAAATTTAGTAAATGAAGGATTTTTCTTCAAATAGAAAAGCTAATTCTTGTATCCTGCTTCACTGCTTGGTGCTATAGAGTAACAATATGTCCATCATCAACGTCTACAATGTTTATTATTTATTAATAAGGTATTGAATATCCTGCAGTAAAGAACAATGTTCCTTCATTCTGTTTTGCCTTTGGTGCGATGAAGACATTGAGCCATCCATCATCCATGGCGAGCAAGTCAGCCCTGCTGCACAGATTACCCAGAGGGCATCTGAGAAGAAACACTACGACCTAAAAGAAGAAGAAGACGATCAGAAGGAAAATGATCGAGCGCTGCAGAGAGGGGACCAAAGTGAAGAGCAGGATCATGAGAAAAAAGAGAACGCTCGTTTGCTTGAGCATCAACGGGACCCTGCTTTGGATCAAGAAGAGAGTCCGGATCAGTTCAAGACTCCGAGCGATTCGTCGGAGTCAGACACAGAACAGGTGGACACGTTCTTCAACACAATGAGTCACAGGTATGATAACGCTGCTCAGGAAAGGCAGGTCTCCCAGGAGTCTCAGGGTACAGCGTGAAGGCACTGAGGGATGGCCGGGGGGGTGGGGGGATCTTTCAAACAGTATTAGAAACAAACCATTTAGGCTGTTGATTTAAACACTGAACTTCTGCTGCATCTGTTAATTAGTCTGCACATAGTTCATTCGAGTTTGTATACAATAGTATTAATCTACTAATTATCTTAGTAAATTTGAAAACTTTGTGTTTTCTTTTTATTACACGTCACAGAGAGGCTCTGGTCTCCTTTTTGGGTTCGTAGACGTTTTGTTTGGCTCACTTCCAAACCCCAACGTGTGTTTCTAATATGTTCATTATTTTTTCTGTCACAAAAAAAAAATGAAAATATGTTTCCTTTGTTGGAAAAAAGAAAAAAACTTTCTTTAGTCTCAGGTTTTTGCCAGACCTTATTCGATGTTTGAATTGGTTTCCTGGTTGTGGAAATTTGTACATCTTTTCTTTCTGTCCTGAGTTGAGCAAATAAAGTAGAAACTGTTGACTTGCATCTAATATATTGTCCTCTTTGAATCTGTTTTTATTTTTGTTTTTTAGATTTAGTGATATGAGACTGGATGACGACAATGGTATTCCTTCACAAGAGTTTTTGGACTCATGCTATGCAATAGTGCCTGTATTAGGTAGGCCAGTTAACTTCTAGTTCTCTCCTCTTTTCTATCTTCCTCCTGCTCCCTTATTTGTTTTTATACCCATCTGTATCCTTTAGTCATTTCAGACTCTTAATTTTCATAGAACAAATCTTCCCTTAATCTTTCTGCATGCCACTTTTATTTGTTTGTTGCTTAAAAAGCTGTTGTATGTCAGGGCTGGGGTTATTGCTTAAAAACATTTGTTAATAATGAACAAATCCATACATGGTAGCTCTATAGGAGCTTTTTTAGGCTATTTACTGTTTTTTTTATGAGGGATACACAAGCAATTTGAGATGAGAATAAGGATTTGTGACTATTTTCCATTAGTAGTGATTAAAAATGCACATACTTAAACGTCTAAAGGTTAATTTCTATTTCTAAAATGGCCTCCAAATGAGCTAGGAAAACTCCCTGATAATGGCGTCTATGAACCACTCCTTATTTAGCCTTCCTGCTTGTAATCTGTCCCCTTGCTGGGTCAGCCTTCTAACTCACAATGATTCCTTGTTCTCAGCGGTTAGGGAGACCTTATTCAGATTATCTCACCTTCATTTATGGATCCGGTCGTCTTAAAGGACCCCATTATGTTTAGACTGGATCAAAGGCAGCAACTTTAGGTTCTGTTAGGATCTATTTATGCTCTTTGATTATTTGGAAATAAGAACAGAAGATGGAAGCCTATAAAAACAGGTAGACACAGGAAGAATGCTGTAGATATGGGTTTTGAAAGCACATGGATAAGAAATTATATGCTCTTTAAATTACAGTTCCTTCCATGGTTGATGGCATCATTTGTAAAGAGAGTAAAATAACAAAATGTTTAATGATTTAATATAAGATTGGTGAGCCATTTAATGGCACTTTTTACTGTGGTTCTTCAACAAATGGGATTTATTTAAAAGTGAATCATGGTCTTAGAAAAACCATGTCTTTCCATATATTCATCATTTCTTTCACTCCAAACCCACTGTCTTTGTTGCTCAAAGCCTCATTTTGGGTTTAATCCGAGCAGTGAGCTCTGTTCAACATAAACCACCTCTAGTGTTTAGATTTGTGGTGAAGTATAGTGGTCTCTAAAGGTTGGAAGGGAAGCTGCATAGTAGCAGGTTAAACTTGGTTCAATTTTGCCAGTAATGTTTTGATGACTGTTTTCTTCATTTATGAAGATAGGCAAACTGTGTGCCTCTAAAATCAGTTCCTGTTCTGTATGACAGAAGGCACAGTGGAAGATGTCAGCCTGCAGGACTTGTTGCTGCAGCAGAGTTGCATCAGAAATGTCTCAGCCATATTGGTTCAGCAGCATGGACATCAAGTTACACTTATTAGTTAAACCACGAAAAAAATACAGAAGGATGAGAGAAAGACGATGGAGGTGGAAGTGTTTTTTGGCTTGGAGGAAAAAAAGCTCCACAATCAGACAACAATCACAAAAGCAGCAACAATTCATGATTTCCTCACACTTTATATTTGTCATACATCAGCTTTTTAAAGACGGCTAGAATAACCAGAGATCAGCCGTTCCCATTTTGATGAGTAGCCTAGAAAAAAAAAACATCTCTAGACAGCTTGATCAACGTAAACAAGGAGTTTTTATACTGTCCGTATAGAAGCAACACCCTTCTACTTAAAAAAATAAATAAATCAAACATTACTTTTTGCAAACTTGTAAAATGTTTTAATACTTACTGAGGGTGCCAATAAGTTTGAGGGAATGCCATCTAAACATCTATACGATGGTAAATAACTTAGCTATTCATTGAAAGCCAGTTTTATGACTCTCTCTTCTCAGACAAACTGGGTTCCACCGTTTTTGCTCCAGTTAAAATGGATTTTGTTGGAAATATCAAGGTAAGTTTTTAACTTACTGATTAACTATGGTATGGTATGGTATGAATTTGTAGATTAAATATGGATGTCATCTTTATGTGCTTAAAAATGATCGTGATTAAGTCATTCTGTGATCTACTAATGTTTTTTTAGGGTTCTCATTTTTTGAAATCCAGCTCGTTTACTTTTAATTGATCAAAATCATTGTTAAAAATCATTGGACTGCAGATTGCGCCTCCGTTTCAGATTAAAGGCTGCATGACGTGTTCATTCTGTCTGTAGAAAATTCAACAGAAGCTGATGTCCGACCCCGACAGCTTCCCCACCCTTCAGTCTATTGTGCTGCACGAGGTGCAGACAAATGTCGCCCAGGTACGCAACTCTGCCACAGAGGCTCTACTGTGGCTCAGACGAGGCCTCAAGTTCCTCAAGGAGTTTCTGTCGGGGGTCAATGCAGGAGAGAAGGACATCCAGGCGGCACTGAGTATGTATGGTTCTGTGATTCAACGCCACACAGATACAGATCTCTAAATATATAGATCTGTATTTTTTCAGTGCCTTGCATGCTGTTCTATGACTGAATGTTTTAATTCTTTATTTTGCCTAGATAATGCATATGGGAAAACTCTCAGGCAGTACCATGGCTGGGTGGTGCGAGGTGTTTTTGCTGTAAGTATTTCTAACTAGCAGGGTTCCTACGCTGCAAAGCTTTCAAGAGGACCTAAAGTTTCTTTCCAGATTTGTATGTTTTCCCCTCATGCCCTGTCCCATTATCTGACACTTCCACCCGTCTCTCCATTAGTTATAATCTTTCCATCCATTTGTTCATTAACTAATCATACACTCATTTGTCTGCCCATCTATGTGTCTTTCATTGTTTATGTCCTTATTTATTCATCAGTTTCTGCATCTTTTCATTTGTCGTTTTTTGTCTCTTAACTTCAGGTCCTTCCATTACATGTCTGTTTATCTGTCTGTCCTTCAAGATGACCTTCATGGATGGACTGCAGGATTGATCTAGCGGTCCATCCGTTTCACTGTTTTTCCAGCAGACAGTTAGTCCAGCCATCCATTGGTTTATCTATTAATCAATGGCATTCTCCTCTTAATCCCCCCTTTTTCCTATTTTTTTCCCAGTCTTTACATTTAAAGCAAGACTACTTTAGATTTGTGAAATAGAAATTAAACCTAATTTGGACAAAATGTTGACATGTTTTCACCCCTACGGGGTTTGTTCCCCCTTTAGTCCAGACCTTTTGTATAGTAGTGAATACAATCAAGTAAACTCTAGTCCAGGCTAAAAAAAAAAAAAAAAACGGACACAGAGGAACTTTTTGTAGTGGGACTTGGTCTGCATCCAGACAAACTAGTCTGGTGGTAACCTGCTTGTTAGGACGTACGCAGCGTCTCCTTCGGCTTGCACCACGTGTTTGCTGATGTCTTTTTCCAAATTAGAAATAGAAAGCTGTGAAATGTGTACTGAATGAGCTGCTCTTCACATTCACAGTGGTTTTCAGCTGTTATAAAAGCACAAACAGGGAAATTAGAAATGCAGCACTCAGGACCTGCATGATTGTCTTCCTAATTTCTGTGCAACGAAGCCTGGCTTTGTTTGCAAATTATAGCTCACTTGCAGAAAGTACAATTTCAAAGCAAACAGCACCAAGAAACTGGACCTAAGAAACATCCTGCTGTGCATATAAACTATAAAAGTCTATGCACACATCAACACCCCACCTACCATTTGGGTAAAGGTGCCTTATATTTTGACGTTAAGTCGCTGCTATTTTCCCCCACAGTTGGCTCTGCGAGCAGCTCCGACCTATCAGAGCTTCACTGCTGCCTTGGTTTCAAGAGAGGGTGATGAGCTGAGGAGCGACTTCACCAAAAGCATGCACAGGGACCTCGGGGTGTACCTCCCTGCCATGGAGAAGCAGCTGGCCATCCTGGATGAGCTGTATGAGGAATACAACCTGGAGTCTGACGAGGTGGTGTGAAACACGAGGCAGAGATTATCACACCTTGAGGAGCAGCACAAAGCACAGCGTCATACGGATCTCAGTGCTTGGATCATCCGTCATGGCTTTCAGCAGCTTATAAAGCCTGCCACAGTATAGTGTGAAGAGATTATTAAATACCCACAAAATGCTTGTTCAAGCAAAGCGGAACAAGAGGAGAAATTAATATTCCCGGTGCGCTAAAAAGCAAAAAAAAACAGTGATGGTTAAAGAAAGAGTTTCAGCCTCTGTTATGCAGACTTCAGTTGTAGTTTTAATGCCACTCATTAAAGATCCTTATTTTTTTTATTGTATTATGGCATTATATGATTAATCTAATTTGAAGGTATATAACTCTTATTTATTTACAAAATATCCTTTAAATACGCTTTAAAGTCATAAAATACATTTTTATGTCTTCATTTAACAGGGAGATGCCATGTTCTAGCAGAAAGCACTTGTGGCAAAACAAACAAAGTCCTAGTGTTACAGCATCCATTCTATCTGCAGTATTTAATAGTGGTTTACAAGACTGACCTAATAACATGCTAACTTTTCCTGTTTTTGTTTTTTGCACTGGCTGTGAAAATGTTTGTAATTTATAACAAATGTAAATAATTCCCCTAAGAATAACCTGTAATTTTATGGTTGATTACTTTTATTTTGCGTGTTAGAGTTCAATGGGACCAAAAAGGAGATGGATTATCCTCTGCTGCCTATTCAGTAACAAAACACAAGAATTGAATGTTAGAAGTTAAACTATTTAGGGTGTCATGAATCACATTTCTGCTCATGCTCCTAGTGAATGTATAAGAATGGATCCATGATGCATGTTTAATTTATAAACGGAACAGTGCCATTAGGGAACAAAGATGAGCCAGACGCTTGAATTCCGCCAAATAAATTAAGAATATTATAATAGTTCGTTTTTTTTGTTTTGTATTTTTTCTATATTTTTTGTCTACTGGAATCTTAAAAAAAATGTAATGTTTGCATTATTTCCTTCTCTTCCTCACCACTTTCATGCATTGCTGGATGTGCGTATGACCATATGGTGTTGGTTCCCGCGCACAACAGGAACCCGAAGAAAGTTTTAGTAAGACTTTGGTCCATTGCTTTCTTCCAGTGAATCCCATCAACCATCTTGTAAAATTCATAGAAATTGTTTGTAGAAGTCATGCAAAAGACATATTTATTGTGTTGATGATGTGCTGTTTATAGATGAACCCAAACATTTTTTTTCTATGAATGTTTATAAGATGCAATTTGATTTTTACCTAATAAATATGATAAAGGAGTTTTAGCACTGCAGCAACTTTCTTTAAGAATATATTTTTTTAGAAGAAATTGGAAAGCTTTTTGCTTGATGCCAAATCCCTGCATTACTGGAATAAAAGGAATAGCAGCAAACCACAGATGGTTCAGTCAGAATCTTTTTAATTCAATTAAATTCAGTTTATTTATATAGCGGCAATTCACAACACATGTCATCTCAAGGCACTTTACAGTTCACGAGAACTGCAAAACATTTTACATGTATTCATGTTAAAGAAGTCAAACCAAGTCTTAAAGATAAAATTAGTCTTTTGACATTATATAGTGGTAATTAAATTCCCTTCCTTTCCTATAAACTTAGGAGAAGCAGATATCGTTAAAGTGCATATATTCATGCACTCTTGAACTTTTAAAAAAATAAAAAGACAGTTGTTTAAAGGGTGTTATGTGCAGAGATTTTAAGCCACAAAGTAAAATACTTAAGTAGAAATTTCCAATATACTTTATTGGAATAATTCGTTTTAGGCAAATTTTTACTTCCTACCTTTTTTGCAATTTTCTCTACTTTCTTCTTGTTAAAATTTAAAATTAGACTTGCTAGTTTTGTTCCATTTAAGGAAATGCTCATTATGGTCTGTTAGTCTTCAAAAATAAAAATAAAAACCAAAGTAATTTGTTTTATCCAGATAATTAATTTCTTTGTGGTTGGACTCGGGGCTGCACAAAGCTGTTGTTCACCACATACCAAAATAAATAGTTTTCAAGATGATGCAAAGTTACATTTGAGTCTGTTAGCATTAGTTCTAAAACTAGGAAAGTATAAGGAAGTTATCATCCAGAATTGAAGAAAAATTGTCCTTTAACAGTGTAGTGCAGTTACCAGTATAATGTCTAAGGCATCTGTTCTAAAAAAAAATTTTCCTGCATTACTTTTATACTTTAAATAGTTTGAAAAACTGAACTTTTACACTTTTACTTGAGTAAAAAGCTTCAGTTGATACTCTAACTTCTACAAAAGTGTTTTTAAACAATAGGATTTATACTTCTTGAGTAATAAACATTAATACTTATGACACCCTTCCTTATGTGTGCTAGCTTATAATGTCGCCAAATCCTTCACATTAGTTGGAATCCCTGAAAACGTGTAGCTGAAAATCTGTAAAGTCACAAAAGCTAGAAGAAGGTACTAAGTGGTTCTAAGCCCCGACTAATATTTTGATATCTTTAGTTATATCTCTGTGTTTTCAGTATGATTTAGGTCTGATTGAGATGATAAAATGTTTCTGTGTTAATTCGACCATCTGGTCACGATCATCCTGCTGAAACATGATACTGATCCAGATTTCTTGAAAAGGCTTTTGTAATGTTGTGGGGTAATAATGGTTAAGTGTTACAGCTTGTCTAAGCTGGGATGGCTCAACTCAAGCATTACTTATTATTCTCTTATGATTGTGTCAAATAGGGATTAAGGCCTTGTGTCCTTCACCACAACACATTTTTCCGCATGCCAGTAATTCTCCCCATAGGTCAGAGATCAGTACTTGGCCTTGGATCTGACCCACTTTCTGTTCCTGCAGTCACATGACGGGGGCCTTCTTTCTACACTAGAACCTTCATTTTGTTTCTACTTGATGTGATAGGCAACAAAGTAGTACACAGCAGAATTAAATTATGCATGATTAAGATGTTATGTTTCTTTTTTTCCACAAATAATATAAAATGTTTACATTAGAGCTCCCTGTAGGTCAAACTGTTGTAGAACCAGCATTTGGTGCCGTTTCAGCTGCAGGTCTTCAGACCGGCGTATTCAAGTAAAGCACTTGAAGTAGTCTACTTTTGAACCTTCAGCAAAAGTGGATTGATATTTCTTGTATTTTTTTGGGTGATATTCTCAATGATGAATTTAGAGCTTCCTTAATTGAACATCTTCGGTGACATGTGTTTCTTTGTCTATTAATAGCCGAAAGAAACATCCTGCAAGGTTTTACTCCAAAATAGTTTTGAATTTATCTGGCTTGGCTAAATTCCTCAACCACTCATAGATGGTTATTGTTTTTTTGTTTTGTTTTTTTTTTTTGCTGCTGATACGTAACTATATGCTATTATTATGTAAGAAAAATCTAGCTTTTTTCAGACCCACAGTGATGGAAAAATGCACATTATTACCCACCTTTGTTTCTACCATCTTGGTTTGAATTAATATTACCTTAAAAATAAAGATGACCTAATATTTTTCTCCACAGCTTAATAATTTTTTTCTCCTGTTTTTGTCTAAATATTGCATATTTTAATTATTGCAGGAGCTGTTGGAATGAAAAAAAAAAATAATGAAAGAAGTATTTGGGAAAAAATAACATTTGATTTTCCTATTTTGTACTGTTGTTCCTAAAGGCTTGGATATCTTTGCTGATATTTTTGCCCATTCTTCTTTGGATGTAAAGCATCTCAAAACATTACTTTTGCTGTAGGTTTTATAAAATGGATTTTGACTGTGCCATTTTACACATGCTTTGATCTAAACATCTCTGTAACTGCCTGAAAGTTGGCGTTCTTAAATTTTATTTCAAATATATATTCGTTTATATTAAGGCCAGCTTCCTAGTACCTCTTGAAGAAAAGTATCCTCACATCATAATGCTCCCACCACCATATTTCACAGGATTAGGTGTGGTCAAGGTTATGTGAGTGTTAGTTTTCTTCCTCATGTTTTGGATGTCCAGTTTTGGTCCCTTTGACCAGATCCCCTACCAGATGGGTTTTGTGTCTCTCGAATGGTTTGAGAAAGGGGGGGGTGCTGAAATAAATCTGTTACTGTTGATGTAAATGCACCAAGTAAAATTGAGCTATCTGTCTGTAAAAGTCGCAAGAATGTTAAAAGATCAACCATCGAAAGAACCTATGAGCAGAAAAGGAGATAAATACTCAGGGCCCAAAGCTGCCAAACCCAAAGCCTCAGGAGTTGAAGGATCAAGGAAGAAAGGTTATATTTTAAAATAATTGGATGTTGTCCCCTGATGAGGGTATACAATATTGAGAGGTCAGGAAGGAGGGACACGCACAGGTGCCTAGCATTACCCTGTGGCCCTTCGCCAGCAATGTAGACCTCAAGGGCCAAGAGGCCAACTTGGAAGAAACCCAACCCCCTAGGACGTTACCTGAGCACCCACACTGACAACAATCAACCAAGGCAGGCAGCCTCCTAGTTGCGACCCCTATGGCACCATCAGAGACCCCCAGACCACCCACATGATCCCAGTCCCTGTTGAGGTCTGCTGCTGTAGTTCGGTGACAGTGTCATCACTGTTTTCAAAATTTAGGTTTTAAAAAGGCCAGGCCAAGGCAAATCTCCTAGAGCCCCGGGGCAACTATGGGGCGCCCCGAAAAAATTGTTTGGGTTGGTTTGCATTTATAATGATTTCTATATAAATATAGTAACAAACACACAATATCATGGTGAGGAGATTCAGTTTGGCATCAAAATATCTTCAATCATGTAGAAACTATTACTTATGTGGGAAATAAAAAAATAAAAGATTGGTCTGGGACCAGATTGATACAAAGACAAGGAAGGACCTGCTTCAATTTAATACTGAGAAATTGAAGTTTTTAAACCAAGGATGATCAACTTTGTTTATTTGTCAACTTTATATTGATCATTTATATTCATCAAAGCTATAATTTTTTTCCTTGCACTTCAGGTTATTTTTTTATATTTTTGAAGTTGGTATAAAACACATGATACTTTTACCATAAACAAACTGTAAACTAGTTTAACGTATTACATTTAGTCACACTAGATGATAGAAAAAATAGAATAGAAATAAAATACTGTAAACATAACTGAGCTGCAATGAGTTTATAGTAGGTGTGTAAAAGATCTGATCATCGGATTGTTGATCACAGTGATCCATATTGTTGGCAGAAATGGAAAGCTCTAAAATCCAATTTTGTTTGGGTTTTTAAAGGGACCTATTACATAATCACTGATTTTAAACTCTAGGATTTAAAAGGGGTATATATGTTTTGTTGTTATTTTTGGGGGCACCTTTTGTGAGAATAAAACAGAGATTGTTTTATCACATAGTAAACAGGACTGTTTGGCAAGCTTTCAGTCATATTTCTTGCTGTGTTTAGACATCAGCGGTAACAAATGCAATTGGCCTGGTAGGTGGGATTGCTCATGATGGGATAAGGTAAGCTTTTACTTTGGCCTCTGCTCAAACAAATTGTCCTGATGCGATTTGGGAAAGGAAAGCAGTATGTTGATATACTTACAGAGTTACATCCAGCCTCAAGCCTCTCTGCTGCAGTTTTGGCAAGCTGCCTGTTTTAAACTTTCGCCTTGAGCTGCTCTCAGAGAGCAAACTCCGCTCTGACATCTTCATTGCTTTTAGTGTATCTTTAAAATCAGCGATACTTCCTGCACAGTCCTCAAAAATAACGAAATGAGTTTCAAGTATAATTCATATCTGGATAACATGTATGAAAGCACATCCATGTTTTCTGACTGTGCTTATCTTATTGTTTACATGAGTTTATTTTAATAAGCTGCTCCAATTGAAAGGCTTGCAAGTCAATATGAAAGCTTCACATATTCCCAGACAGGCATCTGTTTTCATCTACATCAGAAATTTAATTTGATTTGCTTTTACATTACTGAATAAAATGGCAGACATGTCCCAGAAGAAAGTTTCCAGCTTAGATCTTACTCAGGTGATTAAGGAAGAGGTGACAGATTACATGTGAATGTTAACAAAATTAAACTTGGGAGTTATGTATCCATCCATCGTCAGTCAATTGATCAATCCACCAATCACGCTGGAGCTGTTTGCTCGTTCACCTTTGGAGTCTAACCTCTTTGCACTTGGTAAGTGGGAATAAAGCTGATTGTAACATCTGGAAATCTGACTTTAAAAAAAAAGAGAAAATAGTGATTTACGAGCCTCACAGCGAGCTGTACAGTGTCACAGTGGGTAGCACTGCTGCCTTGCAGCAAGAAAGTTTTGGATTTGATTCCTGCTTGGGGTC